TTGAAGGTAAAAACAGCTGGAATTTCCTCCCACAGGAAACGCTCACCTCAATCTGTGCACGGAGGCCATCACACTCCTTTTTCAGTGCATCCATTTCAGCCTTCTCAGCTGCCATGGCGAGAGTTGTTTGTTGATGTTACTGATGAAAAACCAAACGGCACTGAGAGGAATAGGAAATGGGGAAAAACACAAAAAAATATTATTATTTACTTGGAAAATATTCTGAAGTTCACCTGTGGACATATTTGCACAGACAGCAATGTTTGGATGTTTGTTGCAGCTCATTGTGAAAGATGTTAATGCTGTTAGTGGAACGACTCCCAGACAAGCGTATCCTCACGTTTGACCCTGCTGTGAAATAAAGCAGGTACCGCTCAGTGACCCTGATTCCTGAACTGGAACGCTTCGATTCTTGTTGCACCATCAAGTCTACAGAAACAATTAGACACTCAGGTGTCCCTGAACAAAGAGAGGAAGGGAACCGTTTAGAAGTATTAAAGAAGACGGGGAAACATTCTGCAAGGCACAGAATCAACAATGGGTAAAAGAGGACAAGAGGAATGAAGGATAGATGTGTAGGACTTAGGAAAGAAGGAAGCAATTACATTAAGGTCTAAAGGGCACTTAGTACATTTATTTTTGCGTGATTTAGAGGATAAAATACACGTCTTTAGTTTTTACTGACTCCTTTAAAGAGTCGGATCAGTGTTGAATCTTCCTTGTAAGGAATTTATGGTTGCCTTAACTCCAGTGTCCATTTTGACCTCACCGACACCCTTTCAGTGTAAAACTTTAAACCCTCAGGTTACGTCATGTTACATCACCAACATCAAGGTCAAACAGCTAAAAGAAGCTGAAAAAACAAACAACAATAAAAGAAAAGCTGTTATTTTCTTGGTTTGTTCTTTTATTTTGAAACTTAGTGTTTACAATAAGTGTAATTTATTCGGCTAATACTCTGTAACAGGATGCTGATGACTGACTAACTGAACGGCGATTAACTGTGTGCACGTTTCTGCACATCATCAAACTATCGAGCTAAAAGCCTGAACCCCCACGAGTGAGGTAAAAATCACTGCTAATGCAAAACGCAGAGATTCCCGTGAGGAATATCAAAACTTGCAGAGTTGTGCTCCAGTTTTAACCTTGCCTGACTTGTTAGTCACAAACCATAAGTTGAGCTTGCACAGTAGTCACACAGGAACATGCAGGAGCTTTTACAGAAGACGTGATTAAGAATAAACATCCACTGATTAGCACAAGTTAACGGTTGCATCAGTGTGCAGGTAGCAGCTGCACATACACTATGGACGGTCGAGGATATGGTGGGGGCAGAGGTGAGGGGAGTTTGGGATGGGTTTCTACAGGGCTTTAAATCCCTGCAGGACAGCTTAAGAGAAGCTTTACCGGTCAAATCTCCTGTCATCTGATTGCTGACTGCTCTTTACCCTGAGATCAGAGAGAGGGAGGGACTGCGGCGTGGACAATAGAAGAAATGGAGCTTCTGTTAGAGTCAAGACCAAAAGCTGCTCCTCCTCTACTGTCCTGTTTACTCATTTGAGGTGCATTTATTGTTCAACATGTGAAGGAAACACATGCGGCCAGTGAAAATCTGAAACCTTATTACACCACTCTCCACCTCTATAGGGACATTTTAACACCACAACCTCCTGTCAGTGTGGTATTCTTGCACGCACACTTTAATGTGCAGACTGGAGGAGTCATGAGTTCACTCATTACACTCATGGACTGAGCCATCTGATTAGCAGACCACCTGCTACCACCAAACAAATCCACAAACAAAGTGAGCTGGATGAGGTTTAGCTCTTTGTGACCGACCAGGCTGCAGCTTACTGCTGCTCCACCTGAAGCTCCAATCCTCTTTGGCACAGTTGCTACAATCCAAAGATCACCTTCAGAGGGTTTAAGGATGCAGTGGGATTGATAAGTTATTCTGTTGTTTGAAAGAAATCGATGACTTAACTCAAGTTGCTTTGGTCAAATATCCTGAATTTGATCAAATCATGTTTCAGAAAATACAGAAAATCCCCAAAGTTGCTGATCACATCACTGCAAAAGTTCACTTCCTGTTCTTCCAAATAATAAAAAGTAGAACTCCACTTTTCTTCTTCAAATGGTGACAAAGAAAGATGCTGAGTCCCCACAGCTGACTCAAAGCAGCTCCAACTGTTCCCCAGCAGCATTCCTTAACTTTAAACTGTCACAAAGAAGCACCAGAAATGCTGAAACTCACCTTTTCTCTTTTTCTGCACCTGTGCAGCTCCCGATCGCAGATGCCTGTGTTCCCCCTTTGAGCCGTTTCAGCTTCCACAGCTCTACAGGGTGCACAACCTGCTCGCTGGCTCCTCTGATGCTCTCCCACCGGCTGACTGCTAGTGGCTTTACCAGTGAAAAAGTCTGAGCCTTCCTCCACGGTGACGAACAGATGAGGATTGGAGGGGATGAAGGAGATAAGTGATGAAGGGATAAGGCTCAACGATGGAAATAGGGAAGGAGAGAGAGAGGAAAAAGGAAAGGGAGCGTGGCGAGAGGAGGTAGGTAAAGCGATTGAAGGGAGAAAATCAGGTTATGAGGTCAAAAGATGAGAAGAGGTAAAGAAATCCAAGAACAAGACAAGAAGAGGAAGGGAACAGATGTCAGAGCACAAGAGGAAACTGAAGGAAAGAAAGACAAACACAGAGATTTGTCTAAAGCAGGAAGATGGGAACTCTTCAGAGCACAAAGTTGGCTCCACGAACAGAGCAGTGGTTTCTTTTTGTGTTTAATTTATCCTATTAAAGGTTCAACAAAATATAAGACAATACCAGTTAAAAATGTTCATTTTAATTTCCACAGCTGTTTGTTCTTTTTTAACCCGTCCACAAAGTAGTTTTATTAATTGGTGCATTGGTACGTATGCTT